TTTTTGCACCGACAATGGAAACTCCTGGGTGCTGGAATATTGTGCAAGTTCAAACAAAAATTCTCTGCAAATTAGATCATGGCCCCTGGAAGCTTACATTCTGGGGGAGGGAATGTTTGCTTTGTTTGTATGCCTATGGGGCAAAACATGGAATCAGAGTCAGACGGGTGCAGGAACCAATGCCATCCATGGCCTGGGTGCTCTTACATGCACTGGCCTTAGTTTGAAGGCAGGAACAAAGCCTTCAACTGAGTGGGGAAGCATCATGTGGAGAGTCCCCTTGCACCTGCGTCCAAGCTGCTGGCGGCTTGGACGCAGGCACCTGAGTGGCCATGATCTCCCTCTCCAGCCAGCCACTCACCCACCCTACCCAACCTATTTCTTGCCTGACCGGCCAGTGGCACCAATCCTGACTGCTCTTCTCCTTGTCGACCTTCCCACTCAAGTGGTGGCAGCAGCTTGAGTTTCTCTGTTCGATCCGAAAGAGGAAAGCAGAGGCAAAGAGCAGCATTGCTCTCAAGAAGACCCAGGTGTGCTGCTCGCTTACATGTGCCAGCCTTATTGAGAGCAATCCCGCTCTGCGCCTCTGCTTCTTTCCACTTGGACATAGCGGAGAAACTCAAGCTGTTGCCGCTCAAACTCCTTTTTATCTGACTGCACGAACTGCACGGAAAGGAACACTTTGTTCCTAAAGTGCTCCATTGGCAATCACATGGAACTTCCAAGCTCTCTCAGCTCTCCTTCAGATAAAAAGTGTTTGTGCTCTAGTGGGGCTATTCAAAATGCAGAATGGAAGCTTCCGGGGGCCATGATCTCTTTTGCAGAGAATTTGTGTTTGAACTATGCGATATTACGGCACCTAGGAGCTTCCATTGTCAGTGCAAAAAGCAATTCCAAGCCGACTCATCTCTCCCTCAAAGAGAAAGAAACCACGACAGAGTGGAGACAGATTTTGCAAGGTAAGTGGCAGGAAGGGAGGGGGAAGCAGTTGTGGGGAGTGGGGGACAATAGGGTGAATGTTGCAGAGCTGCCATGGTGCTGCAATATTCGTAATTTCGGGACTTGCTTATAAACACTAGGGGGTGCTGATCACGTAACTTTGAATGAGCGTTAAGTGAACGTTTGTAACTTGGGGATTACCTGTACCGTAGCCCTGTATTTGGTTCTGTACTACTATTAGAAAAGGCAGAAAACCTTTTGGATTTTGCCTGGCGAGGCTTGAGCTTTCCATTTTAGAAGGAAATCCCCCCACTCCATATTGGATTTTGTCTAGAGAGGTTTGTGCTGAACAGGAACAGTGTTTTGTTTTTTTTAAGGTTTTAAATTTAAATTGACTTCAGAAGTTATGGGTGTCCCTTCACTGGAGGCTTTTAAGAAGAGACTGGATAGGCATTTATCAGAAATACAATACTCTCTTATGAGAGCAGTGGGTTAGACTAGATGACCTCAAGGTCCCTTCCATCTCAGTTACTGTTGCAAGCTGACAGTTCTGTAAACCCACAACCATCTCCGTCTGGGTGCCTAGCTGGAGACACTTAAGCTAATTATTATAGTGCCAACTGCAACCGGAGAATTCTCCTTCCCCTCTGAAGAAGCTTGAACTGCCTAGCAACAACAACAACAAAAAAAGTTGCAAAGGGAGAACCTGCTTGGGAGGCAGTTTAGTTCCTCAAACCAGAAACAGCTGATAGGCAGCTGGAAAAGCCAGCAGCAGCAGGAAAAGACTCTCAGTTCAGGTAGCCTTCGGAGGAAATAGTAAGTCAGATCTTCGTTCATTTAACGAACCATTTGATTCAGTTAGTGAATTTAATATTAAAATTTTGTGAAATTGAGTCTGATTCATTTGACAAATTTTTGATTCACGAGCCTAATGGGCAGGCTCCATTAGATTTGTACCTCGAGGACTACCTTATGGCAGCAGCATTGGGTGCAATAAGCGAGGCGGCAAATGGCTGCGGCTGGCAGCAAACAGCCATGTTGCGCCGAAACCGGCCATTTGCCGTCTCCTGCGTAATGCTGCTGCTATGAGGCCGTGGAACAAGCCAGGCAGCAGTAAGAAACTCTCCATGTACATTGCTGGTACAAGATAAAGAATTATTAGTTTCCTTCAACAATGTCAAACATTATTTTTCAAAGCACATGGAAAAGCAAGAAATTTATATCATGTTTATGTTGCATTAACAGAGGGATAGAATCAAGATATGTGAAGTATTAATACTACTTTACAATGCCTTGGTAAGGCCACACTTGGAATACTGCATCCAGTTTTGGTCACCACGATGTAAAAAAGATGTTGAGACTCAAAGAGTACAGAGAAGAGCAGCAAAGATGATTAGGGGACTGGAGGCTAAAGCATATAAGGAAAGGTTGCTGGAATTGGGTATGTCTAATTTAATAATGAGAAGGAGGAGGGGTGATATGATAGCAGTGTTGCAATATCTCAGGGGTTGCCAGAAACAAGAGGGAGTCAAGCTATTGTCCAAAGCACTTGAAGGCAAGACAAGAAGCAATAGATGGAAACTAACCAAAGAGAGAAGCAATTTAGAACTAAGGAGAAATTTCCAGACAGTTAGAACAATTAATCAGTGGAACAACTTACCTCCAGAAGCTGTGAATGCTCCAACACTGGACATTTTTAAGAAGAGACTGGACAGCCATTTGTCTGAAATAATAAAGGATTTCCTGCCTTAGCAGGGGATTAGACTAGATGATCTCCTTTATTACTACTACAACTACGATGACGACGACGACGACGCCTGGAAATAAAGCCTAGTGAAGTTGGTTGAAATCTTGAGCTCCATTTGAATTTTGATAAAACATGCATATAGAGTTTTACTGTTGTTTAGCAGACTTTTAGTAAATTAAATTTATAAGTAAATAAAATATTAAATAGAAAATTTAATATTTTCGAATTGTATTTTCTCATAAAGATGACCAGTAGGAAGGGGGCAAACCAAATAACAGGTTATACCTCAATCAAGACACACAGTCTATGTAGCGAAATGCTCCTCAACCGCTGATGGCTGCTGTTATTACTCAGATTGTACAAGTAGTCCTCGACTTACAACGGTTCATTTAGTGATTGTTCAAAGTTACAAGTGCACTGAAAAAATGCCTTATGATCATTTTTCACAGTTATCACCTTTGCAGCATCCCCATGATCATGTAATCAGAATTCAGGTGCTTGGCAACTGGTTCATACATGTGATCATCTTTTGCAAACTTCTGACAAGCAAAGTCAATGGGGAAGCCAGATTCACTTAATCGCCAGGTACTAACTTATCAACTGCAGTGATACACTTAACAACTATTGTAAGAAAGGCCGTAAACTGGGGCAAAACTCACTTAACAAATCTCACTTGACAACAGTAATTTTGGCTCAGTTGTGGTTGTAAGTTGAGTATTACCTGTATGATGAAAGTTTAATAATTCTTTGAGGTTTTAAAACAAATGCCTATGTATGTATATATGTGCATGCATACAGACACACACACAATTTGTATACTTATATTTGGTAATGTTTTGTAAAACTAAAGTATGGATTTTTAGCCTGGAATCATCTAGCAATATTATCAGATCATCAAATTGTTTAAAATTACCAATGGCTTTTGTATTCATTACCTGTCATTGTTGAAATCTGAAGTTTTTATGTCACTACTTGTAATAAATACAGTATGTAAGAAATTGTAAATTTTCATCTACCCATTTATATGAGAAAAACTGCTGCAACTTTGAATTCAAATCATGGTTTGTTTTTCTCATTCTTTTGCGGAGTTAATTTTAAAAAGTAAATAGACATTATTTTAATGACTGAAAATGGTATTCATTTTAAAAGACATGGTATTATTGATATATCAAATTGTCATTAGCTGCATTCAAATATAATAGTAAACAGTGGTTTAGCATTAAGAGAATAATGGATGCAAAGAAGAGGTCAGTTGTTTCTGCTTCAGATTACTTAATTATAGCAGAGTGTTATTTTCCAATTCTGAGCTATAGATTATGTTAATTATGATTTTTAAACTATATTTAAAACCACAGATTGCTTATATGCTTGGGTTATTTAAGTAGCCCATAATGAAGATTTATTATAGTTATCTATGATAGGCTGAATAATACTGCCTTTGAGTGGGAAGCAAAATCCCATTTCATTTTCTATATCTTATGGGAGAAAGCGGACCCTCCCCCATGAATTCTTATTTTCTTTTCCCATCATATATTACCACAAATAAGGAAGAAGTTGAACCAACATATCCGCTATTTTTGAAACCCAACAGGATATAAAATTCAGTGTTACATAGCTGAAGATTCTAAACATACTAGTAGCACGGAACTAATATAAATCACAAATAAAAGATGTCTAGGATACTAATCAAAAAATGTACATTTTTGTTTTATAATACCCAGCTTTGGGAAGAAAGGATCAACTTTGGAAGCAAATAACCTCATTAATAGTGTTGATTGAACTGAACATTATTAAATAAAATTATTTTGTATATATCATAAATTTTCAATTAATGTTAGAACAATAATTTATTAATATAGGTCCTCAACTCACAACCCGTCTTTTACTGACCCTTTAAATTACAATGGCACTGAAAAAAAGACAACCAGTCTTTGTACTTATAACTAGCACAGCATTCCCATGGTCATATGGTCAAAATTTGGGTACCTGGAAACCCATGTATTTACAATGATTGCAGCATCCTGGAGTCCTGTGATCACAACTTACGACCATCCCAGCCAGTTTCTGATAAAGTCACTGGGAGAAACTGGATTTGTTTAATGACTGCATGATTACACAATAACTGCAGCAATTGACTTAACAACCATGGAAAAAAGGTCATAAAAATCTGGTGCAATTCACTTAGCAATCACCTTGTTTAGCAGTGGAAATTCAGATCTCAATTATGGCCATAAATCAAGGGCTACCTGTTGTTAAAATGCCAGTTTCAGCAGATAATTCCCTGATGTTGCTTTTACTTTTAATTCTTTTCTAGAAATACAAAGAAAAGGAAAAGCATAGACAAAAACATAAGAAGCAAACAGATTCTTCTCCATCCTTGGTTCCTTCCCTTACTGTAACTACAGAGAAAGTAAGTGAATTTTTCTTGCAATTTTTGTTGAAATGATGTCTACAATGAGGATTTCAGTAGTTGCCAAACTTTATTATATATCTCTTTTGATAATAAATAGTGTTTTGGATTAAATAGACATTTGCGATAAAATAAAATTAATTTTTAAAATATTAATTGTTTACAAAAATAAAGTCATATTTATTTCAGTTGGATCTTTCCACAGAAGAACTATTCATAGAACAACTGAAATTAAAATAGAAATGATAAATACTACAGCAGAAGCACCACCTTTGAACTAAAAGTGTTTAGACTAAAGTTTTCCAGTAAATTAATTCTGTTAAGAGTGTTACATGTGACATCTAAATCTTCATTTAAACTTATAATATGTCCTTTCAATAAGAAAAAAATCAGACCTTTTCTTCACTTTACTAAACAAATAATTATGTTGTATCTATAAATTAGTTTTGTTTCCAAATGTAGAATACTGAAAATTAAATACCTGCTAATATTTAAGTACAACTTCTTGAGAGAGTAAGTAATAATCTTAGTATTTAAGGCTAGCCTTGTATAATAAAATTTAAATTTTATTTTTATTTATTAAATTTTATTTATTAAATTTAAATAAAATATTTAAATAAATATTTAAATATTTTAAAATTTGTTTATAATAACTTTTACAGTTTAATTGATTGGAATGTATGTGGAAGAAAACCAAGGGATTATATTAAATCAGTAGTATTATATTTTTGTAGTACATTTTTTTTTAATTTTGTGGAAGACATACCTTTCTATTTCAGTGATGTGTTTCAAACTTTTAAAGCATGATTCAGGTTTTTACACAAAATAACTGCATATTTGGTATAGTTAATCACAAAGCAGCCATTTGCGAGCAAATGTAAGATTACCCCTTGCTATTGTCTTAGTTCCTCTCTCTGCTCCCAAGCAGTTTATCTTTTTCCAGGGGTGATGGGTTCACTTCCAAAGAAAAGACTGAGATGTAGAAACTCACTATGTTTATTTCATAAGAATTCCTATTGATATTCTTAAAGGGAGGATAAACGATATAAGTAGTCCTAGACTTATGACCAGAATTGAACCCAACATTTTCATTACTAAGCAAGGCAGTTGTTAAGTGAGTTGTACCCCATTTTTACAAACTATTTTGCCATAGCTGTTAAGCTAATCACTGCCATTGTTAAGTGAATCATAGAGTAAATTCCAGATTTGAACTTGGGAAATATAACTTATAAATACATGTAAGCTGCCAAGCACTCAAATTTTGATCATGTGACCAGAGGATGCTGCAATGTCATAATGTGAAAACTGGTCATAAGCCATTTTGTTCTGTTACATTGTAACTTTGAATGGACACTGAAAAAATAGTTGTAAGTCGACTATCTATATTCTTAGTTGAAGGAATTGTTAGGTATATTAGAGTCCACAATTACCAAACTGGAAATATCAGACTTTGTTAGGATTGAAGATAGTTTGTAGAACTGTAAGTAATAATAATTTGAATTAATAATTAATATTGATTATTAATAAAGAGTGTGATTTATATGATTAATAATAATAAAATATTAATATTATTAATAGTAATAGGCACATTGAGTACAATCCCAAAACAACTGGAGCATCAGTTGAAAAAACACTTGATTTGACAATATCACCATTGGTCAATTGCAAAAGGCAACTTTATTTGAACAGCTTATATCCTATGATATCTATAACACTTTCCAACATTCACATCTACTTATTCCACATCCTTGGAAAGGATTCAATAGATAAAGAAAAAGGCCAAATCCAGTCTGAATATTGTATGACAAATACCACCACCACCACCACCACCACTACTACTACTACTACTACTACTACTACTACTAGCACTTAGGTCCTTGGTTAGGACTTGAATTGTTACGTTTTTACCAGTCCCAGACTGTGAATTGAATTGAATATTAAATCTTAAATAATAATATATTATTATTATTAATATTCAGATCCAAGCAGACAGACATCTGGCCCACAACATGCCTGACATCACTATTGTGGAAAAGGGAAAAGTCTGATTCATTGATATTGCAATACTAGGTGATGCATGAATTGAAGAGAAGCAGCAAGAAAAAAATAACGAAATATTGTGATTTGCAAATTGAAGTTGAGCGATTGTGAAGAAAGAAATCAATGGTTGTACCAATTGTAATCGGGGTCCTTGGAGCAATACCCAAAAGTCTGCCGAGATACCGGTACATAGAGATATTAAATTTATTAGGCCAGAATATTCTGATTTTCAAAAAAAAAAACCACCTTGCTCAGAACTGATGAAAATATTAGTGAAAGTCAGTGTTCTGAGCCTTCCAGAACAATAACGTTCACTGCAGTTTTACTAAATTTGAGGTCTATTCCTCCAGTGTGGTGAGGGATTCCCCTATGGAGAGGAAATCCCTTTGTATGCTGAGAACAGACCTCAAATCCGACTACCTTGTACCTCTTTGTTATCACAGTCATTCTCCCCAGTGGGGCAGGTAGAGTAGGAGGGCCAGGCCCTCTCTCCAGCATTCAATTTGACAAGCCTCATGGATGCATATTGACTGCAACTGGGAGAACTGGGATTGTGGTCACTGAACAAATTGGGACATTGCTGCTGACATGAGTGGTAGCTAGAAAAGGTTTTCTAGGAACTGGGGGCAGAGGCAGTATTAACCATTACTTTTTGTTCCTTATGCTACCTACTTTAATTTTCTATTCCAACCTTCAAGTGATGTCTTCAAAGAAATAATTAAACACATTAATTGAACTACCATTTAAGACATCTAGTCTTTTCTTCCATTATAAAATGTATGTTACAAAAGAAAATGTTTTGAATAAAAAACAAAACCATGCCTTCCCATAGAAAAAGAATGTTAAAACTTGTTTTGATTCTTCAAGGGGAAGAAAGGGGAGAAGAAAGAATTTCCTGAGACATTGTTAGAATCTTAAAATATCTCATAAAATATGAAGAAAAAAAGCTACAGTGAATCTGGCTTTAGATTATAATCTCTTCCCCCCCATAGATACCTCGAATGCTATAACTTCCACTTTTATCTTATATGAATTTTTGTTATAATTGATTAGATTTTTAAAATTTTTGAAATTCTAATAAATAGAATTGTTGTAATTTACTTCACAAAACAGATTAAATAATACAAGATGATATTAAATTTAAATTTATATGGCATCCATCTCACTGATATAGTGACTCTGATTGGTTTACAAATTGGTTAAAAGGTAAATATAAAAACAGTTAATAATAACAGTTATTAATAAGACTTAAATAAGAACTAAAACCAAAGGAATGGATGGCATGGGCGTAGGATCTTCTTATCCCATCAGGAAGCTCTAGCAAAGAGCATTTCTTCCCCAGCAGGACCACAAGCCAGACAGCAAAACCAGTTTTTAAGGCCTTTCTGGAAGGCCATTTTGATGAAGACTATTTTACTTTTTGAATGGCATTTTAATGGCAAATTCTAAAAAGTTATAAGCATTAGCAGTGCTTTTTTTGCAAAGAAAAAGGTGCCGGAACTCAACCCCCACAGCCAGGCCATTCCTTGATTGGCAAACTTTCACTCCCCTCCCAAGCTGGACTGCCATGTTAAGGTGGATAGGATGGGCGGGGTAGGCCCGCCCCCCTTCCGATATTTCAGAGCCAGGGGGGAGTGACGGTGAATGGCTCCGCTGGTACTGTGCACCGCTGGAGGGGCTTTCTTTAAGCTTCACCCCGCAGATCACCTGCCCGGGCACAGCTGCCGCTTTCTTGTCCTCTGCCAACTCTCCCATGGCTTGCGCCGTGACAGGAGGCACAAGTCTCCCCTGCCGCCTCCCTCCGCCAGTCCTTTGTCGCCTGTCTCATGGAGAACGGAGAACACAGCACTCTGTGCAGGGATGCAGAGCAGAGAACAGCACTTGCTGCCCTGCATTGCCCTACATGTCCCTTCTCCCTTCTGGAAATGGCAGCCCCATTTCCTGCTGCTTCTTCTCCCGGCGCAGCTCCTCCCTCTTCCTGAAAGCATTTCTTTGCTAACCTGCTTTCCAGCTCTGGCATGTTTCTCTTCTCTGCAGGGAAACAGAGTTTATGGGACTAAAAAAAGTTAAGTCAGACCTCCCAACTCTTTGTGAGATGTTTCCACAAGAAATAAGGTCTGACTGAACTTTTTTTAGTTCCACAAATTCCATTGAAAAAAGGTGCTGGAACGACGTTCCGTGCGTTCTATGACAAAAAAAGCCCTGAGAATTAGGACAAAAACACAATTCTATTTGAAGTTGCTGAGGGGGAAGCAATTGCAGAGGAACATCTCCAGCTGGTTTACACATATGTGAGAGCATATGTGTATGTATATGTTTCAGAGAGCTTTTCCAATTCTTGCTTATACTTGTAAAGTTTTATCTGTTTAATATTAATATAATTTGGTCTGTTTCTTAAAGCATTGCAACCCTGAAAACTAATGTTCAATATCTTTTTTTTAAAAAAAGTCATCTTGACTGTTGCTAAAAGGGAAAAGAGTAAAATTAATTTTTGATGCTAATTTTTTAAATGTCAGATGGTAATACAGTTTCATGGATGTGTTGTGAGATGATATTGTGTGTATGCAATCATGATATTTTATAATGCTGTATTTTCTGAATTAAGCTAAAGAGTCATTTTAAAATTAAATGGCTCTTTCAGGATAGATTTTTGTGGTCTATCTTATATATACTTTTATTTATAAAGCTAAAGTGATGAATTCTATTTGCCACTGGGCTGCATATATTAAAATAATGTATTTTTCTTTCCTTTCTCTTTAGTCAGATTATCAAATCAATAATAGTAGAAGTTTAAGGTACAGCAGTTAAAAACACATGTTAGTGACTTAAAGAAAAGCAGGAAATTAAGCTTTTCAGGTTATACCATTGGTACTTACATTGGAGAAGTTTTCAGAACCTTTCAATAAATAAAGAGTTAAAGAATGTAATTAAATAGGAGCTGATTTTATAAATACTGTGGAGAGACCAGTTAAATATAATTTAAGGCCAGGTTAATATGTACACTGCCACTGATTGCTGCAAAGTCTTATGTCAGTTCCTTGTGGTCTAACTGTCTCTCTCAACTTCCCTTTTCCCAATTCAATACTATTAAGACTTACACAAGCACTACCAACAGCTCTATGACAGGGTCATTGAAGAGGCTGGAAGATACCACAGCTCGTTTTACAAATGCAAATTTCCAGGAAGTTTCTGCACATGCTTCAAGTGGCAAAGATGTTTCAGAGGCCAGAGGTTCAGAGAGCAAAGGGAAGAAGTCAGCAGGTCATAATTCAGGTCAAAGGGGAAGAAAGCCTGGTGCTGCTAGGACTCCTGGAACTGCAGTATCAGCAGCTTGTACTTTTCAACAAGGTATTATTGAAGGGTACTGTATTGCTTTCTTCAGTGCCAAGGGAATTTAAACTAAAAATAAATTTAGGTGAAGTATATTTTTCATATTTAGTATATGAAGAATATAAATAGCTTCAGAATTTCTCTGGAGAAGCTAGCAGCAACAAAATTTCAGCACATCCTCAGTATCTTACATGGCATTATCTAGAAGTAATTGTCCTAACAAATGTGAAAACCTATACTTGATTAATATAAGAACTATATTTTATGCTAAAAAACATTTTGAGAAACAATATATCAAAGAAAGTACTGCTTGTTTTTATCAAGAATTAGTTTAATACACAATAGTACTGAGAAGAATATTTTCCAGTATAAATTTTATTCTTTGATTTTCTTGGAATGATTTTATAGTTGAAAAAGCTATTTCTGTTATTGGAATATTTCCTATTATCTTTACTGTAATATATTACATATAATAAATTGTTATAATTCTATCTGAAATTTGGAATATTCTTCCCTTTTGATTTAAATATATGTTTGTAATCAACAAAAACATTTTTAAATCAGGCTTACTCTTAATTACCCAATCTAAATATATTGGGAAAGTGTGGTGAGAGTTTAGTAAGGATAAGGGGGAAAACATGTTTTTTTTTAAAGGGGGGGGGGAAATTGCCTGTATATTTTATATAAATTGCCTGATCTTTGTACTGCCTACAAAGGACATATCAGGGACATATGATAAGAACAAGCTACTGCTTTTTTTTTCTTTCCCAGGATTATCTTATTCTTTTTCTTACATATTTTTCTGCCCAAAGAACTAGCAATTAAAGAGATGTAATTTTTATTTTCATTTCATTTGTCTAATTCACATAAGTGGCATTCTCAGAAAACAAGTGACTCTGGCTGGCTTACTGTAAATTAACTTGAAGAGATTTTTTGTTGGTTGCTAGCTTTAAAAAATAATATATTAGCAGTAATATTAAGTAGAGCATTAGTGACTAGTTAGAAAACCTGTTAAGAAAGTTCTCTAAATTGTAATTTAAAAAAAACTGTTGCTGTAAACCATGAATATATATATAATTAGTGAGGTTTGATTAATTCTGGAAAACAGACAAAGCTACATTCATGTCTAGGATTTCCTGAATAATTCAAAATCCATAATGCTAGTAAAAATCACTTTTAATTCTATATTTAAATGTTTGCTAATAGAGTAAATATCTGTTTTCAACAATCAACACCTCTCCCCATCTCTTTTCTCCAGGAAGTTTTTTGGGAACTCCAAACAGTACAAAATCATCCTCTGGAAGTTCTGTTCAATCTCCCCAAGACTTTTTGAGCTTTACAGACTCAGATCTACGTAATGACAGCTATACTCATTCTCAGCAGACTTTGTCAACCAAAGATGTATATAAAGGAGAGATTGGAAGTCAGGAAGGTGGTGTGAATTGTTTTACTTCCTTAATTAATCTTCCTTCAACCTCAACTGTTGCCTCCCAGCCTACTATTTTTGACAGTTCACCTGGAGAGTTAGGTAGTTCAAACCTTATACCAATAGGATACAAACGTGCTCAGTCATCTGGGATAGAAGACGAAACCATAAAGGAAAAGAAACGAAAAGGAAATAAGCTATGTAAGCATGGGCCTGGTCGGCCCAAAGGAAATAAAAGTCAGGAGAATATTTCTCACCTGTCAGTTTGTTCAGCTTCCCCAACATCATCAGTAGCATCTGCTGCAGGAAGCATAACAAGCTCCAATCTGCAGAAGTCCCCAACCTTGCTCAGAAATGGAAGTATACAAAGTCTCAGTGTGGGTTCCTCTCCTATTGGTTCAGGTAGGCATTTAGTATTATTTTAGAAGATACATGTTTAAATTTAGTTTTACTTCACAGTAATAATATATTTGGTGTTTGATTCCATTCTGTTTTAAGCTACATTTTGTGGAAAATAGTTTCCTTTTTATAAATGTTTAAAAGCTAAATAAGAATTATTTTTCAAGTTTTTATCTTTGTTACTAATTTACCATGTGATACATACACTTGACATCCGTTATCCTAATTTATTAGAGGTGAGCACTGCTTCAGTTCCAATAGGACAGTAGTGCTTTGGATTACATGTGGGAACCTGCAATGCATCTGCAATAATCCTATAGTCTGTTTCTAGAATTGAGAGCCTAGGAAGACAAGCTGTTTCAAGGAGTTTGTAGCATGTGCTGGTGAATGCTCCCGCATGCTCCAGAATAACTTTTTCTTTTGAGATACAGATAGAGAGTAGGATATGCAGCACTTCATATGTAGTGAGGCAAGAGGAGGAGACACTTGATACTTTCACAAGTAAGTATTGACTAATTTACTTTTGTCAAATTGAAGTACCGTATATGCCGCCGTATTAGGCGACCCGGCGTATAAGACGACCCCCGTCTTTATAGCCGGGCCGCATTCCTAGAATGTCGTCTTATACGCTGGAAACTACCAGTATTTCCGGCATATAAGACGACTCGGCGTATAAGACGACCCCCGTCTTTGGCGCCGATTTCAGCGCTTGCGGAAGTCGTCTTATACGCCGGCATTTACGGTAATCATATTGATTGTGAAAGATTATTAATAGCACAATCATGGAAACATTAGTCTGGAATATTGCATTGTTAAACTACTAATATTCTTGTATGTCTAGCACTATTTGTAATAATTTGATAATTGGAACATTTGGTGATGAGGGAGCAATCTGTTTTGGAAACAGAAATTTTTATACCACCTCTATAACTTGGTTGAGGTGGTGCAGTGGCTCGGCAATAAGATGCTAGGCTTGTTGGCTGGAAAGCCAGCAGCCCAGGTTCGAGATCTGAACGCTACACGACAGGTGAACTTCCGTTCTTGCCCCAGTTCCTGCCATCCTAGCAGTACAAAAGCATGCAGATGCAAATAGATAAATAGGTATCCTTTCGGTGAAAAGTAACAGCGCTCTATGAGGTCATGCTGGCCAATGACCATGGAAATGTCTTCAAACAGCACTGGCTCAATGGCTTTGAAATGGAGATGAGCACCACCCCCTATATCAGAAAGGACTAGCAGAGTAAAATCCGCAGAGACTCTCTATAACTTGGTTTAGTTTATACAAAAGTTATTCAAGAATGACTAAAAAAAGGGAAAACCTTTAAGAGGCTATTTACTTTTTACAGTAAAGAAAAACAATAGCTGAATTAATAAAAAAAAATCCCAAACTTGGTTTCTTATAAACCATTCAAAGTTATGACAAGACCCCTCTCCCCAAGAAACTACTTAGTATTTGATCACAAAACTTTTTAGACATGCTCGAAGAAACAAATCAAAATCATTCATTCAGATGACACCAAAACAAACTCTGGACAGAGTATATAATGAGTGGAAATGATTACTACATATGTACCAGTGCTGCCTTTTCCTTCTGCCAAGTTAAATTACAGCCTGATGAGTCCTGTGATTGCAATTGTATGGATATATCAGGATGTTATTGCTAATCTAGTATATTAATTGGGTGAAGGGGATAGAAAAATAGCTGTTTATGCAAAATCATCCAGAATATATGAGATTATAAACATGAAGGATTTTTGGTGCTTTTTTAGTTTGCTTATTTTCTTGCAGATGTTTCATTATCCAAAGTAGGTAACATCATTGCTAGTCTAGCACTGATGATGTTACCTAGTTTGGGTAATGAAACGTCTGCAAGAAAACAAGCAAGCTCAGAAAGCACCAATAACCCCTCATATCAACCCTGAGCTACAAATATTCTCCTTTATTAATACAGTATAAACAGTTTTCTGTTCCTTCAATTTTTAGAATTCTACAGGAGAACGATATGTTATTGAATGGCTGCATGTAAGATATTTAGAATTCTGAATGTTTTTTGGATGTAATATGTGAAAGACATTTAAGCATGTCATTTATTTTATATTCTTTTTAAAATATTTCAGCTTACCTCATTTTGATTTTTGAAATAATTATTTGACATACTTTGTCAAAAGCAGATTCTGCATCAGTTTTAGATGTGATTTTTACAGAAAAAACTTTATAAGCAGCATTTTTAATGGAAAAAATGAAGAGTAATTACAATAAGCGATAGCTAATTGAATTCGTTTCTGATGCTAGTAAAATGTGTGGGTATAATGTAATTGGAAAAGCAAGAGTCCTTGTTTTGAAGCACACCATTTCCTTTTCTCTAGAAGAGGGCAGTCAACAGACTTTTTAAAGTCACTATCCTTCCTGAATGTGCTGTTCCTTCCTTAAAATTGTAACTGTTTCTTTGATGCATGTAACGGCTTCTTCTTTTTTTAAGAATTATTTAAAGATCCTGTGCCTTTATGTTTGTTTCAAACTATTATTTTTCTAGTTATTCTAGCTATTACTCAAATATTTAAAATATTTCTGCTCATGATTAATTTCAGGAAATCCCCCTTTCTTGTTCTTCCTTAACAATTTTTGAGCACAGAATGTATATTCAACGTAAGTTTTTTCAGAAAAATACTTGGGATATTTATGTATGTTACATTACCATTTTTCTTTATTTCTTGATTCAGAATGTTCATATACCTGCACATTAGATGCCTACAGTAAAGGAATTCATATTTATTATTTGAAATAATTTCTTCATGAACTTAAAAAAATTGTTAACAGCAATATTTATAATTAAAATGTCTTACAAATAATGGATAAATGTCATAATAATGTGCCCAGTATAATTTATAATTTTCAGAGATTAAGTATTATTTTTCTTTCAGGGAATTTACCTACAAACATGTGAATATAGCATATATCTGTGGTGGCGCGTGCCACAGGTGGCACAAAGAGCCCTCTCTGTGGGTTCACGCGCTGTCGCCCCAGTCCAAGCCTTAAATCCTGTTGATGAGCAACCTACATCAACATCTACTCGGGCAAGGGGCATTTTAAGCTGGGTTTTATAAAACCTTTTCGCTTTAGGCCTCCGCGCTGTGTGCAAAAAAAAAGTTCAACTTTTTTTCAACTTCTTGTGGGAAAAAAAGATCTCACTAAAGTTGGAATTGATTGACTGAACTTTATTTTTAGTCCCACACAGCGGCAGAGGAAGTGACGTGTCAGAGTTGGAAAGAAGGTGCCGTGGGGGGAGTGGCGGGAGCAGGGTGCTCCATGCGAGGGATGGAGCGGGACCTGTGCATGGGGTAGAGAAGCAACGCGATGATGGTAGATCAGTTGCTTCCCTCCCCCTGCCAGACATCTGCCAAAGCCACGTAGGGTAAGGTTGCTGGGCCCGCCCGCCCCCACCCAAATGTCTTCGCCTCCCCCAAGTGTATTTTATTAACCTGCCTTTCAGCTGCATTCCGTTTCTCTGTTCGCTTCTCAGCCTTCGCCGCGTGTTTGTGGGACTATCGGTTAAAAAAAAGTTTCATCAGACTTTCTAACTTCTCGCGACAAGTGAGGGGGGAACCTGCCCCACTTGTTCCATGTCCGCTTTTGGCCGAGCCGCACTGCAGCAGCATTGGGCGCAATATGCGAGGCGGCAGAGAGCTGTGCCACGCTGAAACCGGCCGTTTGCCGTCTCCTGCGCAATTCCGCTGCCATGAGGCCGTGGAACAAGCTGGTGGTGGTAAGAAACCGTTATACCGGTTCCTTACCTCTGCCCAGCTTGTTCCACGGCCTCATGGCAGCGGCATTGAGTGCGACGCGTGAGGCAGCAAATGGCCACGTTACGCCGAAATCAGCCATTTGCCACCTTGCGCATTGTGCCTAATGCCGCTGCCATAAGGCCGTGGAACAAGCCGGGTATACTGGAACACCCCTCCCCTACTCCGCCTGCTGCTGGAAGGCTGGCCTGCTATTCGCAGTGGGCTTAGCCTCAGAGTACGCTGGTCAAGGGGCCAGCAGGCTGTAGCTACTGATGGACACAATTGGCCCCCATGCTCTCGTGTGCGGGGGCTGATGGTGTTAGACAGCAGCCACCCCAGTCCGTGCCTTGCTTTGTTTTGCCCTGTGGCAGTCCCCCTGCCCTGCCCCCTGCCTGGTTTTGCCTCACCCTGCAGGATGAGCCTCCTGCCCATCATCCCACCTGCCAGAGACCCCCTGGATCTCCCCCAACCCTGCCCAGTCCCCACAGGCATCCCTCTCCACGAGCAACATCAAGGTGGCCACGCCCACTCCAGCCACACCCACCCACTGCCATGACTACTCCAGCCACGCCTACTCAGTGGTCATGCCCACCAACTGGGCCACGCTTACCCGGCACCCGACAATAAATAAATGGGGTGTGGGTTGCAGTTTGGGCACTCAGTCTCTAAAATGTTCGCCATCAATGGCACATATCAAATTTATGACTTAATAGTTTAATATGGGTGGTTGCCAAATGACATAGGTTATAGGGAACATATGATGTATCACCAAAGGAATTAAGTTTGTTTGGCATCTTTTCTTCAGTGGGAGGACATATACTGGACTGGTTTATAAATGGTATGTTAAATTTTTTGCATGCTCAATGTGTTGATTTTACTGTGTTTGAAATTTACCATCTTTTGTAAAACTACAGGAAAGTGGTCATGTATTGTAGATTTTCTCATGTATATTTTCATGTACTATATTGCCCATCTCTGTCCTAACAAAGAAGCATTTTTTGCAATCCTATATTTGTATCTAATTCTATATTGTTCTTCATTGCCATAGAACTTCATGCAACAAGTCCATTTATATTAGTATTTTTTTAACTTTTCCATCCTATCTACCAACTTCTATTTCAATGACATTCAGAGTCTGAGTCTTTATTTCTGTTGTTCATATGTACACATATATATTTTTAATCTTCCTGCAGATGTTTTGTTTCTGTTCTTTTTGTGAAC